TAGAAGGGCTTAGAAAAATCTGGAAATTTCAAAATTGGAGCAGATGTTAGCTTTTCTTTTAGAGTTTGGAATGCTCTTTCTTGACGGAAGGTCCAAACAAAAGGAGCATCTTTCTTAAGCAACTCAGAGGAGCAGCTATGGAAGAAAAATTGGCAATACAAGATCTATAAAAACCTGCTAAGCCCACAAAGGATCTTACGGCATCAGCAGTTTTGGGAGTTGGAAAATTTAGTACTGCAGTTACTTTACTTTGGTCAGTCGTAACCCCTCTAGGAGTGACTACGTGACCAAGAAACTTAATTTCTGATCTGAAAAATTGACATTTAGACAGTTTGATCTTTAAATTGGCTTCTTCAAGCTTACCAAGTACTACATCAAGTCTTTTCAAGTGTGTATCCACGTCTTTAGACATGACGATTACGTCATCTAAGTACACCATAAGTGCATTACCTATGAGACCTCTAAAAATATTAGTCATGAGCCTTGAGAACGTGATAGGGGAGGATCGTAATCCAAACGCCATACGGAGGAAGTGATAATGACCTGTAGGAGTGGAGAATGCAGTTAGCTCTTGGCTGTCCTCGTGAAGAGGGACTTGCCAAAACCCTTGTAACAAATCCAGGGTTGAAAAGACTTTGTTATCTCCGATGTTACGTAAAAGATCACCCAGTACAGGGAATGGGAAGCGATCTGGAATAGTTTTCGCATTTAACTTCCTAAAGTCAATCACTGGGCGCCAAGTACCATCCTTCTTAGGTATTAGTTGTATGTCGGGACGACATACGTTAGCGTCGCCGAGCTCTCAGTAGTAGTACCAGTTCCTAGTAACCAGTTACCAGTAACCAGTGTACCAGTAGATGACTCACTACCAACCGTCTCTGCGTGAATCACTGACTGTATTCATATTGCTGCTGACCATAGCAGGATTTCAAACACCCCCTCGCCCATAAGCACTCATGGGTCAGTCTAGTCAGGGAGCCAGAGAGAGGCAGGTTGGCTGTTGGCGCTTCACACACATTCCGTTATATTATACGTACTACCAGCCTACGTGAGTATTTTTACCCTATCCACGTTTTCGAAACCCACATGACAATGAGAATACAAAGCAACGAGGCTGGGGAAAGGATGTAAATGGATCTGGACAAACTGCAAGATTGGTCAGAAAAAGGGTCACTTGAATTCAAACCCAACAAATATAAAGTTATTTAGAATGGGGAAGGAGCCTGAAGACCCAAGAGTAGACTTAGTGCCTAGCATATCGCCAGAGGTTCACATCAACCGAATAACCTCTGCTGCCAATGTTTGCCTGGCAAGCACTGGCATAGCAGCTTTCAGGAATCTTAAAGAGTCATTCTGGGTGCTGCATACAACATATGTCAGACTCATCTTGGAATATGCAGCACCAGTATGGAACCCACACCTTATTAAGCAAGCTAAGACACTAAAGAAAGCACAGAAATATGCAAGGAAACTAGTCCCAGAGCTTTAAGAGGTTAAAGGAATTGAATGTAACAACCCTGAAAATCAGAAGGACCAGGGGAACCAAGACAGCATACAAAATACTCAAGTGAACTGACAGGGCAGATAGGGACAGGCTGTTTGAGATGCAGGAAGTAGATACTTGGGGACACAGTAAGAAGTAAAAGACAGATGAGTCACAGGGATGTTAGAAGTATTTCTTCAGTCTCAAAGTGGTCAAGAAATGCACTTATCTTGATGAAGAAATGGAGGCAGACTCATACATTATTTTAAGAATACGTATTACGGGGCTCATGAGGATAAGCAAGTGGCAAGTTGAGAGGCAGGGCCAGGAGCTGAGATTCAACCCCTGCAACCACACATAAGTGAGTAAACTCTACTTGACCTTTCACCTTTACACGTTGTCCACATATCTAATCACTTTTGTTACCCATCACTGTTCCCCCCCACCAACCACATACAGGTCTTCCTCAACATTCGCGAGGGTTATGGGATCAAGAGCCTTGCGAATGTTGAAAAATCGCAAATGTTTGGTGCTCCAATATAGTGTAGGGAAATATAATACAATACTACTTCCTTAACCTATTGAATCACGAACAATCATAAAACACATGAAAACATCATAAAATATTGTACTAGTGCCAGCCCTTTGGTAAAGAAGGCGAGAAAAACTATAGAATTCAAGAAAGACCTCATAGCAGAGTACCAAAGTGGAGGAAGAAGAGAGAAGCTGATAAAGGCTATAGCGCCAGCCAGCAATAAAGTGTAGCATTAACAGTACAGCAAAAAAAGTTAAGCAATTAATCGATAGAAAAAGGACAGCACGAACCTACCTACTTCCAATATTGCTGGAGTTATACAGGGCGACTGACAACACGGCCGTCTCTAGTCTCTACTGCCACCTCCACCATCACTATGTACGGCTTATGTCTCGGTGGCCCTTACACACCCACCCAACAACAACAGCAACGCTCATGACATACTTAATGATATATTTTATTCATTCTAGAGTACATGTCATTTTTCTGTTATTAATGTTGTTTATTATGTCATACTAGATGAATTGTGATAGATAAATAAGCTGTAGAGTTGATATTAGTGTCATATTGAATGACTATCTTGTCCTATCTCCAAACAAACTCTGCCACCGCCACAATTCCTAAGATATGTAATGACATTTTAAATATGATTGGGCACCTGGAATTCATGAACGTCTGAAGCCCACGAAAGTGAAAAGTGCGAATGTTGAGGGAGACCTGTACTCACCTACCCCAGTTACCCATCATCCACTTCCCCACATGTTCATGCCCATACCTTATCCATCTTTTATGTCCTACACCTCCTAACACACCATCCACTCCACCACCACCCACACTGTGCCACTGACACGGTCACCATCATACTGCCTCATTGCTTACAGCCTCTACCCCCTCTAGTACCCAGCATCCTCCACCTCCCAACATCAACCTCCAGCTCCTGCTGCTACCCCTCCACCACTCGCTCTCCACCCCAACCTCACCTGCTCAAACCCTTCCTGTGTGTACCCCAACCACTAAGCCCATGTATATAACCCCAACACAGTTACCCCAAGAGGGACAACTATAATGTACCTCTGTCTGCTAGCAGAGATTAGGATGGAGGATCTTTGATTGACACACATCACTACATCAACCTACAATTACATTATCATTATTTTTTACAATTTTGACCTAAAAAAATCTGGGTGGCTTTTCTAGTCTACGAAAAATAACCCTATTTTTTCCCCTACAAGATCTTCAGTACATTTTATACAATTTTTTTTATTACAGCTGTTGTCAGGAATGTGACTATCATGCTAAGTGAAGGTCAACCGTAGTTTTGGAGGGCCTAGCAAGTTTGTTCAATATATGCTTAAACACAGGGAAAGGGGTACCTAAGGATTTTCAATAAGCATAGTTCATGCATGCATGGGAAAAGAGGACAAGAGAGAAAGAATTATTAGGAAGTAAGTTTGTTCAACATAACATGTTTGAATAATTATGCAAAGGTTTGAGGTCTAGAAATTGATAGACAATGTGGAGTCATCAAGGGTATAATTCAGAGAGCTAAAGTGTGCTGCTGCAGTTCCATGTATATGACAAATGTTATTGCATATTGTGTCAGATACTGTAGTAAGACTATACGGCCAGTCAGTATGCCACCAAGTACCAGGCATCACTAGCACTCGAGTGCCTACAAATATACTAAACCTTCAAGTTTTTTTTTTTTTTTACAGTATTTGAATGTGTATCCTGCTTACAAGATGGATCAAAATTAAAAACATACATATTTGCTTAAAAAAAAATACATGTTTTTAATTGTGATCCATCTTGCAAGCAGGATACACATTCAAATACTGTATAAAAAAAAAAATTCTTCCTCTGTAAGCCATGCGTGTCGTAAGAGGCGACTAAAATGCCAGGAGAAAGGGGCTAGTAACCCCTTCTCCTGTATATATTACTAAATGTAAAAGGAGAAACTTTTGTTTTTCCTTTTGGGCCACCCCACCTTGGTGGGATACGGCTGGTGTGTTGAAAGAAAGAAGAAAGAACATATTTGTTTTTCTAAATTGGGAAGAGGAGAAAAATCCATCTTCCATAAGCCATGCATGTCATAAGAGGCTACTAAAATTCTGGGAGCAAGGGGCTAGTAACCCTGCCTCCTGTATAAATAACTAAATGTAAAGAGCCTTTTTTTTTTTTCAGACTACCCTGTCTTGGTAAGAGAAGGTCATTGTTAAGGAAAAGAAAAACATTGGCTTTCCTCAGATCTACTACTGCAATAAATCCAGTAGCTCTTCCAGGAGTTGACCATCAATTCTGCACTTACACATTTTCATAATACAGGCGGAAAGAGTAAAAAAAAAAAAAAAAAAAAAAAAAAAAAAAAAAAAAAGCTGAGCAACAGATTCAATAAAAACAATTTTGGATTCTCAGTTTTGGGATTAATATTGTTTTTCTGCATTAACAATCAGTTTCCAATCAACTTATTACATATAGGTGTACAGCAGAATCCCTGTATCCACTGATTCAGTATCTGCAGTTTACTGTGGCCCAAAAATACCTCTTAATTTTGCCTAATAATGGCCCCAAAGTGCAAAAGTAGAGAAGCTGCCAGTTCTTCAAATCCTAAGAGAAGCCATGAAGTGCTTCCCATCAGTGAAAAAGTGATAATTCTCCACTTATTGTGCATAATTTACCAATTAAACTTTATAACAGGTATGTATAGTACTTATATATATATATGGGGTTTGCTACTACCCATAGTTTCATTATCCACAGCAGGTCCTTGGAATGTATCCCCTGTGGATATGGGTGTCTTACTGTATACAAAAGGCACAATATTATTTTTAACACACCGGCTGTCTCCCGCTGAGGTAGGGTGACCCTAAAAAGAGGAAACACTTTCACTATCACTGTCTTACCAAAGGTATGCTGATATTCTGGTCAGAATAGCATATATTAAAAATGCACAACAATCTTCTGTCAAAAAATATAACTCACCTTCATCTCTGTTTTCATTGGCACATTAATATTGACCCTGAGTTTCTTATTTTTGTATCCAAGGAAAAGGTTGACTCTGGAATCCAGTGAGAGGTCTTCCTCATCATCTGATATGAGCAACTTACACTTGAGAAGGATCTGCACTACCTGAAGCAATATTTCTTGAGTTATGCCAGTCATTTCCTGTCAAGAAAAAAAAAATAGGATATGAAGCAAACATTACTGAAAACAAGGAACATATTGGACATACATACAATGAATGTTATGAAACAGTGGTGAATAAAACACTGATATCTAAATCAGTTAAAATGTTGCAAAATGGGTCATTCTTAAACTTATTTGCAACCCAAACATTAAAATCAGGGTTATTTTAACTACAAGATTAACAGCTTCTAGATAAACCAATATACCGCTGAAACTGACCATAATGAATTATTTTTATTACCTGGTCATTTCCCACCAAGCTATGGTGACCTAAAGGATGTACTTTTTAAGAGTAAACCCTCAATATAATTTGCTATTGAGGGGAGGAGGACCCTACATGTCTGTTAATCAGAATAATGTCAAAGTACCAGAGAAAGCAGTAGAGTACACTACTGTATACACAATTTACAGTTTTTTTAACACGTTGGCCATCTCCCACTGAGGCAGGGTGACCCAAAAAAGAAACACTTTCACCATGATTCACACAATCACTGTCTTCGCAGAGGTGCCCAGATATGACAGTTTAGATGTCACTTTACAGATATACTGCATTAAACGTTGAAAATAAAAGAAATAAAAGCACAATTTGCATAATGGCAAGAGATGTGGGATTAAAAGAGAATTAACACAAAGTGGGAGTTGTCATAGTTGCTTTTTGCAGATGAGACAGTGCTCGTGGGAGATTCTGATGAGAAGTTGCAGAGATTGGAGAGCGAGTTTGGAAGGGTACGTAAAAGGAAATTAAAAATGAACATAGGAAAGCACAAGGTGATGAGGACAAAAACTTTACATAGTGAAAGATTGGATATTAGAGTGGAGGGAGTGAGTATGGAGGAAACATGGGAAAAGTTGAGAGTACGTTTTCATTCCCACAGGCACACAACCGTCAACTCATAATAACCAGTTATAACCCTGAAATACCTGATTTTGTTAGTAAATGTAGGAGAGGCTGTTTATATTCCTAGAAATGATGGGCAGTATAATTCTGAACGGTTATGGACAACAGCATTAACAATAGTACAGTGGACCCTCGGGTAACAGCATTAATCCATTGCTTGCCTTTAACCGATTTTGCAGTTAGCCAAATTAATTTTCCCCATAAGAAATAAAAGAAATTCAATTAATCCATTTCAGACAGCCAAAAGTATTAACAAAAAATATTTTTTTTTTAAAGATTAAATATAGATACGCATACAGGAGGTTTTAGAGTGGGTAGGGGATATGTAGATCAAGTGTTTACATTGAAGCATATATGTGAGCAGTATTTAGATAAAGGTAGGGAAGTTTTTATTGCATTTATGGATTTAGAAAAGGAATATGACAGAGTGGATAGGGAAGCAATGTGGCAGATGTTGCAAGTATGTATATGGAATAGGTGGTAAGTTACTAAATGCGGTAAAGAATTTTTATGAGGACAGTTAGGCTCAGGTTAGGGTGTGTAGAAGAGAAGGAGACTACTTCCCGGTAAAAGTAGGTCTTAGACAGGGATGTGTAATGTCACCATGGTTGTTTATATTTATAGATGGGGTTGTAAAAGAAGTAAATGCTAGGGTGTTCGGGAGAGGGGTGGGAATAAATTATGGGGAACTAAATACAAAATGGGAAGTGACACAGTTACTTTTTGCTGATGATACTGTGCTTATGGGAGATTCTAAAGAAAAATTCCAAAGGTTAGTGGACGAATTTGGGAGTGTGTGTTAAGGTAGAAAGTTGAAAGTGAACGTAGAAAAGAGTAAGGTGATGATAGCATCAAATGATTTAGATAAAGAAAAATTAGATATCAAATTGAGGAGGAGTAGTATGGAAGAAGTGAATGTTTTCAGATATTTGGGAGTTGACATATCAGCGGATGGATTTATGAAGGATGAGGTTAATCATAGAAATGATGAGGGAAAAAAGGTGAGTGGTGCATTGAGGTATATGTGGAGGCAAAAAATATTATCTATGGAGGCAAAGAAGGGAATGTATGAAAGTATAGTAGTACCAACACTCTTATATGGGTGTGAAGCTTGGGTTACATGTAAATGCTGCAGCAAGGAGGTGGTTGGAGGCAGTGGAGATGTCCTGTCTAAAAGCAATGTATGGTGTAAATATTATGCAGAAAATTCAGAGTGTGGAAATTAGGAGAAGGTGTGGAGTTAATAAAAGTATTAGTCAGAGGGCTGAAGAGGGTTTGTTGAGGTGGTTTGGTCATTTAGAGAGAATAGATCAAAGTAGAACGACATGGAGAGCGTATAAATCTGTAGGGGAAGGAAGGTGGTGTAGGGGTTGTCCTCGAAAAGGTTGGAGGGAGGGGGTAAAGGAGGTGTTGTGGGCAAGGGGTTTGGACTTCCAGCAAGCATGCGCGAGCGTGTTAGACAGGAGTGAATGGAGACAAATGGTATTTGGGACCTGACGAGCTGTTGGAGTGTGAGCAGGGTAATATTTAGTGAAGGGATTCAGGGAAACCGGTAATTTTATATAACCGGACTTGAATCCTGGAAATGGAAAGTACAATGCCTGCACTCTAAAGGAGGGGTTTGGGATATTGGCAGTTTGGAGGGATATATTGTGTATTTCTATACGTATATACTTCTAAACCGTTGTATTCTGGGCACCTCTGCAAAAAACAGTGATTATGTGTGAGGTGAAAGTGTTGAATGATGATGAAAGTATTTTCTTTTTGGGGATTTTCTTTCTTTTTGGGTCACCCTGCCTCGGTGGGAGACGGCCGATTTGTTGAGGGGGAAAAAAAAAAAAAGAAACAGAAAACAATGACAAATAATTTTTTTTTTTATTATCACACTGGCCGATTCCCACCAAGGCAGGGTGGCCCTAAAAAGAAAAACTTTCACCATCATTCACTCCATCACTGTCTTGCCAGAAGGGTGCTTTACACTACAGTTTTTAAACTGCAACATTAACACCCCTCCTTCAGAGTGCAGGCACTGTACTTCCCATCTCCAGGACTCAACTCCGGCCTGCCGGTTTCCCTGAACCCCTTCATAAATGTTACTTTGCTCACACTCCAACAGCACGTCAAGTATTAAAAACCATTTGTCTCCATTCACTCCTATCAAACGCGCTCACGCATGCCTGCTGGAAGTCCAAGCCCCTCACACACAAAACCTCCTTTACCCCCTCCCTCCAACCTTTCCTAGGCCGACCCCTACCCCGCCTTCCTTCCACTACAGACTGATACACTCTTGAAGTCATTCTGTTTCGCTCCATTCTCTCTACATGTCCGAACCACCTCAGCAACCCTTCCTCAGCCATCTGGACAACAGTTTTGGTAATCCCGCACCTCCTCCTAACTTCCAAACTACGAATTCTCTGCATTATATTCACACCACACATTGTCCTCAGACATGACATCTCCACTGCCTCCAGCCTTCTCCTCGCTGCAACATTCATCACCCATGCGTCACAAATAAATATAAAGCACTAATAGAATGGATAAATGAACATTTAACATCACATTTAACCTTCACTGACTCTTGTTGGTGTATGGAAGACAGGTAGGAGGTGAGCTTATTTTGCTTCAATATGATGCTAACATCATCTCTCTGGCTTATTTATCTATCACAGTTCATCTAATATGACATAATAAACAATATTAATAACATAGAAACATGATATATACTCTAGAATGAATAAAATATGTCATAATAAATGAGAGAAGTGGTGGAAGTGTTGTTGTTGGGTTTATAAGGGCTACTGAGAGAAGCCGTACATATTAGTGGTGGTGGAGGTGGCAGCAGAACCCACCAACACCATCACACTTAATGTATGTAATTTATAAATAAGAAATATTCACATTTTAATTTATAAATTAGTTAGTTTATTCAGGTACGTATACACAAATACAGTTACGTACATAGATTATCATACATAGCAGCATATGTGTAAAGTACCTAGGATAACCCAAAAAAGTCAGAGTGACTTATTTTCATTAGGGTCCTTTTACATTTACACTTATATTTGCTTTTATACTTACACTTTTATATTTACACTTACCTTGGAGGAGATGTTAGTTTACTTAGCTAGTTTGATGGAGGAGATGCTGGCAGAGGTTTAGGGTGGTGGAAGATAGCAGGCCAGCATATGTTCATTGGCCCTATAAACATCCAACAACATTGGAGAGTTACTTTCATGTCGTTTTTCTATCGCTTACTCACTTAACTTACTTGCTACACTGTTAATTCTACACTATCACTGGCTGGCACTATAGCCTTTATCGATACCTGCTGCTTTAATATCGTACATATCAAGAATCACTGAATCACAGCAGAAGGCACATTCTCCTCTCTCTTCCTCTTCCACTTCGGTACTTTGCTACGAGTTTTATCTTTAATTCTATTACGTTTCTTTCCTTCTTTACCACAGGGCTGGCACTATAAGCTTTCTCTGGGCCCATGGTGGCTTATTTAGAAGTTACAAGCACTAAAAACAATGGAATAATACAAAATATATCGCATGTACATGTGGAATCATCCTCCCTGGCCTGTAAACAATGGCACACTGGCTGTACATGGGTTGCGCGGACACGTTCGGGACGAATGCCCTTAACCGAGTTCTTGGGTGTCAGCCGAGCCAATATTCTGACGTAAAAACGTGCTGCTATCTGATTTTGGCATTAGCCAATGCCGCCATTACCCAAGGGTCCACTGTAGCTAGTAACTTATGACACCAAGCACATTCTTCCACTAATGTCACCTAATACCGACTGTTAGTAAATATTCTGTAAGTTATGTTAGTCGACACCCTACAAGTCATATTTTTTCTTTTACAGTACCTCAACAGTGGTCTCCCACCAATTAAGGGTGAACCAAAACATTAAAACACATTAACCATCATTCATTAACCCTTTGACTGTTTCGGTCATATATATACGTCTTACGAGGTACCGTGTTTGACGTATATACACCTACCATCCGACTTATGACCTGCTCGACTTACGACCACTCGACTTACAACCGTGTTTTTTATGCCAAATTTCTGGGAAATAAACAACTATTTTTGTTGTACACAGTGTTTATCCTAAACCTTACAGTATAAAATACAGTACTTACAGTATAAAAAGTAAAGTAAAACATGAAATACCAAAATAAAACAATAAAATAAAGTCATTACAAAAATGTTTTGTTGATATTCAGTAGTAAAGTTCGACTTATGACTGGTTTCTCAGAACCGAACTCGGTCGTAAGTCAGATGGTAGGTGTACTCATAAATTCTAGTGGCTTCAAATCAAGCAGGAGAAAGCTGATAGGCCCACATGTGAGAGAATGGGTCTGTGTGGTCAGTGTGCACCATATAAAAAAAATCCTGGATCACACAGTGCATAATGAGAAAAAAAAACTGCAATAGTTTTTTTTAATTAAAATGCTGACTTTGTGGTCTATTTTCGTATAGTATTTATGGTTGTACTCTCATTTTCTTGGTCTCATTTGATAGAATGGAAAACATATTATAGAAGTAGAGGTGATTTTGAATGGTTTTACTATAAAAAGAACCTGGAAATGGAGCTCAAAATAGGGGAACTGTTTGATTTTTGCCGATGTTCAAAAGTAAACAAATGATGTCATTGTCCAATAAATGTCCAACTAGCCATTCTAATATGCAGTCATGAATAAGTTGACATTATTTGTACAATTACAGTATTGCAGTAGTCTGCATAACAGAATCTTCTATTTTGTTTGAAAAAAAAAATTCAAAATAGAAAGCAAGAGTAATATCAGAGGGGCCTGGAGATGTGACTGATGAACAAAGAAAATGTTATTTTAGAGCCAGGAATGTCTGCACTGTTCATTTTGGACCTTATTTTGAAATTGTCATTTTTTAATTTTCATGAAATTGGCCAAATTGCAAATTTCTGACCACGTTATTGTGTAGTTGAAATCAGTTAATGGGCAATTTCTTGTACTCAATCAATAGAAAAAGTGGAGTTCTAAAGAAACAGCTATGAGTTTGGTCGACTGGAACAATGGAATTAGCCGAAAATAGGGCTCAAAATAGGCGAAATCGCCCATTTGTAAATAACGCCGAGGTCGATAACTTCGCGAGAGAGTAATTTCGTCAGTTTTTCATCAAATTTCGTTTTTTTGGTGTCATTACAATCGGGAAAAGATTCTCTATCATTTCATAAGTCTTTTTTTTTTTTGAAATTTTGCAACACCAGGAGACACCTCAGGATTGGGGGTTGTGACAGTCAAGGGGTTAATCATGCACTGTGTACTGATATTAATTGGCTGCATTCCAATATTTACGAGTGCTAGGTAGTAATTATTTACCACTTGCTGTCATGTGGATGCTCAATGTTTTACTTTTTACCCACCAAGTAACTTTGCTGGACCTACTAACATCTAGCTAGCTTCATGCTAGCATATTTATCTTATTTTAGTAAGAGGGCTTCTAGCTAATTAACCCTTTCACTGTTGGTGCTATAGTGCTACGGCTTGCAAGCCAGTGTTGGTGCTTTAGTATTACGCCAAAATTCTAGCGGCTTCAAATCTAGCAGGAGAAAGCTGGTAGACCTATATGTGAAAGAATGGGTCTGAGTGGTCAGTGTGTGCAGTATAAAAAAATCCTGCAGCACGCATTGCATGAGAGGAAAAAACAACCTCCAACCATGTTTCTGGTTTACAATGCCGACTTTGAGGTGTATTTTTGTATAGTATTCATGGTTGTATTCTTGTTTTTTTGGTTTCATCTGATAGAATTTTAGATATATTACAGAAATAGAGATGATTTTGATTGGTTTCATGATAAAAAGTACCTTGAAAGTGAGCTCAAAGTAGCAAAAATTGTTTGATTTTTGCCAATGCTCAAGAGTAAACAAATGACGTCACCATCTAATACATGTCCAACTGACAAGGGTAATACGCAGTCACGAGTGGGTTGACATTATTTATACAATGATTACAGTAATGCAGTAGTCTGCATAACAGTAAATCTTCTATTTCTTGTGTGAATGAAGATTCAAAATGGAGACATGACTAATGAACTGAGAAAATGTTACTTCAGTGCCAGGATTGTCTGCATTGTTTATTCTGGACCCTATTTTGAAACTGGCATCTTTTGAAATTTGTGTGAAATTGGCCAAATTGCCAATTTCTGACCACTTTATTGGTAGTTGAAATCGTTAAGTGGGCAGTTTCTTGCACTCAATCAATAGAAAAAAATGGAGTTCTAGGAAAACAGCTATGTGTTTGGTCAAATGGAACACTGGAATTGGCTGAAAATAGGGCTCAAAGTGGGCGAAATTGTCAATGCACATATATTGCCAAGACTGGTAACTTCACGAGAGCGTAATTCCCTAAGTTTTCCATCAGATTTCGTACTTTTGGTGTCATTACCATCGGGAAAAGATTCTCTAGCATTTCACAAGAAAAATTTTTTTTTTTAAATTGTTCGACACCAAGAGCAAGTTTGTGAGCAGGGGGTCTCGACAACTGAAGGGTTATGAAACATTAGTTAGGTTAGGTTCTAGGCTACTGCTGTAAAGTAAAATAGTCTTTTTTTTTCACTGTCAAATGAATATAAAAACAATAGAACTAGACCTAAAAAATGCATATACAGCACACACATTACTTACCTTAAAATATTTTAATTTTTTAGCTTATGTGAGTGGTGAATATATTCATTGTACAAAGTCTGAACAAATTAAGAATGGATATAATTGAAAAAACTGCTGCATTAGCGAACACTGAAAAGCGGGGCCTGCCTGTATTATGGCGGATAGATTCTTTTTTACCATAATAGCTGGCTTGCTAGAAGAGAGTAGACATGACAATTAAAATTTGACCCTCTGAACTGTCACACCCCACCCATCCCTAGGAATGTAGGGTAAAGGCAAGTCAGAATTAAACTTTTGGTTCCAAGATCACATGAACAGGAGTCATTAACCACTACAAGAAAATGAAAATTGTACTAGACTAATGTTGGCAAAAGTGAACAAGTTTCCAGTTGTGATCATTAGAAAGATTATATGAAAAATTTAAGTCAACAGCTCAAGGCATTTCCAATAACAGTGAAGAGTGTACACACAACAGTAATACATACTGGGTAATTTGATAATTTTAAGTGAACAAATATTACCTATCATCAAGTGACCTGGGTTGAAAAGAATGATAGTAATTTTTCAGGTTTTCTTAAACAACTGTTATGCAGTTTTTTTTTTTTTCTTTTTTTTTTTTTCTTTTTTTGTATTTATTGTATAGCAATCTTATTCACCCCAAGATCTAATGTCTCACTTAAATGTTTCATGGCCAAATATTTATAAAGAGGACATTTAAATTTGTCATATCCAACATGTATAAAATAATAACTTAGAGTACATGAGCAATGAAGCACATCACAAAATTTGACATGATGACCTACTTGTAAATGACCAACACTCCAGGAAACTGCATTGTTAAACTGAAGTAATACAGCCATTTGAAATGTTGATGCTTGTAGTGTGTATCTGTAAGATAATGCATCATTAAATTCAAGAACGGCTACTTAATGCTAAAATACATGTTATAAAAATACAAATAAAAAGCATGAATTGCATTAATATCACTAATGTTGGGTCATATAAAACATACAACTTGATACAACACATCACAAGTCAATCTGACCTAACTAGCATGACCCAAAATATGCTTTTCTTTTATGGAATAAATTTATTTTGATAAATATTTGGAAAAATGGAAAGGCACTGTGGCAGTGTATGTACAAGAATGATAGCCTAAAATTTCCCAACTTTAACAAGGTTTATCCACACAATTTGTAATATTCATGTATTTTGAGACCTAAGAAAATACATATTAATACAAAATTTTGTTGGTGTCCATTTGCAGGAGATCATGTAAACACTGACTTGACTGTGCTGCTGCCTGCCTACTGCAAGCACCTAAAAAGGTCAATATTTTGAGACCACTTTATAGTAAATCCTTGTTTTACAATGACTCGCATAGCAAAAATTTGCTTTTGTGACCTTCTCAACACATACATACATATGCAACATTCACACTGAACAAAAATGCAAGTAGTGGAAGGAAAAGTAGTTCATTCAGTTTGCCTTGCACTCTGATTTATTAGGCATCTTGTGAAAGATTTTACTTAATTTTTTGAGGAAAAAGCTTATAACCCATTAATCATGGTCAATAAAAAAAATCTATAAAGCTTAACATATTGAAAGTTAAACTGCAACAAGTCCCTCTAATTATTATAGATTAATGTTACCAATGCTTACACATTTCAATATAAGCAATAAAATTGGCAACATCTACTTTTGTGGTAATTTTTAGCTGTACGGAAGCATAACCCTTAATAGCAACATTACACCTATGAGAAAAATTGTACATTACTTAATTTTGTTTAACCTCTGAGGGTCCAAACCATAGATCTGTCAAGCTCGGCTCACTCAGATAAGCTGTAAGCAGTAAATTTGGGCCTAGATATGAGAGGATGTATGTATGTGGTAAGTGCACACCATACAAAAATCCTGCAGCACACAGTGCATGAGAAAAAAAAATGTAACCGTGTTTTTGGATAAAAACAGACTTTGCGGTGTATTTTATAAAATTTTTACAACTGTAGTCATGATTTCTTGTCTCAGTTGATAGACTGGAAGATACATTACAGAAACAAAGATGATTTTGATTGGTTTTAGTACTGAAAATAGCTTGAAATTGAGCTCAAAGTCGTGGAAATGTTCAATTTTTTCTGATGTTCAAGAGTAAACAAATGACGTCGCACATCCAATACACGTCAACTGATGGGTCTAATATACGTTCACGAATGCGCTGATATTTATACAATTATGTATTACAATACTACATAACAGTAGACCTATTTTTTGGTGAATAAAAATTCTTTATGTAAATTACAAATCAAAATGGAATCCATATGTAAAGCCTGGAAACATAACTAATAAACAGGAAATGTTATTTTCATGCCAGGAATGTCTGCATTGTTTATTCTAGACCCTATTTTGAAATTGGAATATTTTGAACTTCGTGTGAAACTGGCCAAATTACTAATTTCTGATCACTTTATTGGGTAGTTGAAACACAGTGGTACCTCAGTATACATCTGCTCTGGAGTAAATCCAACTTGGTATATGTCCTGTTTGGATGCGAAAATTTTTGCTTGGTATACGGCCTTTGTTTGGAATACAACTTGCGTGCTAGAACTCGTATCAAAATCAAAATCTTTATTTCTCTGTTAAGCTTACAATGGGTGTCCCACATTTTTTTTTTTTTTAACAAGTCAGCTATCTCCTACCTAGGCAGGGTGACCCAAAAAGAAAGAAAATCCCCAAAAAGAAAATACCTTCATCATTCAACACTTTCACCTCACTCATACATAATCACTGTCTTTGCAGAGGCACTCAGATGCAACAGTTTACAAGTCCCTCCAAACTGTCAATATCCCCGACCCCTCCTTTAACCATTTCAGGGTCCAGTCCAAACCAAAAAATAGAAGATTTACTGTTATGCAATATTGTAATAATTTTATAAATATCATTACCACATTTGTGAATGTATATCAGACCCACCAGCTGGCACGTATTAGACGTGTGAGGTCGTTTGTTTACTCTTGAACATCGACAAAAATTTAACATTTCCGCTATTTTGAGCTCAGTTTCAAGCCATTTCCAGTACTAAATCCAATCAAAATCATCTCAACTTCTGTAACATATCTTCCATTCTATCAAATGAGACCAAGAAATCGCAAATACAATTATAAAAAACATACGAAAAAACACTGCAAAGTCGCTGTTTTAATCGAAAATCACAGTGTCAGTTTTTTTCTCTCATTATACACTGTGTGCTGCAGGATTTGTTTTCTGTGGTGCACATATACCACATAGATGTATTCTCTCATATCTAGGCCCAAATTTACCACTCACAGCTTATCAGAGCGAGCCGAGCTCATGGCGTAGATCTACGGTTTGGACCCTAATGTAAAGCCGTAGATCTACAGGATGGACTCTGAAAGGGTTAAAGTGCAGGCATTGTATTTCCCATTTCCAGGACTCATGTCTGGCTAAATCTATAATAACCGGTTTCCCTGAATCCCTTCACTAATTATTACTCTGCTCACACTTAAACAGCTTGTCAAGTCTCAAAAACCATTGTCTTCATTTACTCCTATCTAACATGCTCTCACACACTTTCCTAGGCATTTCGAACAGACTAATACTAATTCTTAGGAATTATTAGGAATTTTAGGTTAACAGCCATTTGGGTGCCTGCTAGCATCAGTATGCCTATTGCTACCATTCAGTGAACAACTTGCACTGTAGCTCTATCAACTTCCAAGCAATTTTTTTTTTTTGTGTATAAATTTTTAGTAAATTTATTAACCATGAGTTCTAAATAACGAAGAAAATGGTTAGGATCACCATGGAGGTGAAATTTTTTTTTTTTGAAAAGTATGAAGGTAGCATGCATATCCGGGACTTGTTATTAAATCTGCTAACATTATGAAGGGGGTGAAATCCATTACTAAACAAAGAACAAAGATCAGGGACATTACAGCATGTTGAAAAATTGCTTTTGATCTGGATAACAGAAAAACAGTGTGCCTGTGATAGCGTATCAGAGGCAATGATTTGCGAAAAGACAAAACTGATGCATGCCAATCTTTTGAAAAAACAAGGCAGGAATGAGCCAAGAAAGTGAAGTGTTTAAAGCCATCCATGGCTGGTTTGATAATTTTAAGAAGAGGACTGGCATTCAGTGTTGTGAGACATGGAGAGGGAGCCAGTGTCGATAAAGATGCCACCAATGATTTTGTTACAGAGTTCGGGGAATTTGTGGAGGCTGAGGGTTTTGTTCCTAACAAGTTTTTAATGTGACGAAACAGGCCTGTTTTTGAGAAAAATGCCTAACAGGACCTATATTACACAAAAGAAGGCCTTACTAGGAGACAAACCAATGAAGGATAGGTTAACACTCTTGTTCTGTGTCAATGCAAGTGGGGATTGCAAACTGAAGCCTTTACCGATCTACCACTCTGAAAACCCGAGGACCTTTAAAAAAGATAACGTGCAGAAAACTCAGTTACCTGTGACGTGGAGGTCAAACAGCAAGGCTTGGGTAACCAGAGAATATTTCAGTGAATGGTTTAATGTTGTGTTTGGGCCAAGTGTAAAAAGTTATTTAGAGGAGAAAAACCTGCCTCTGAAGGCCCTCCTCATAATGGACAATGCTCCAGCTCACCCTCCAAGCTTGCAGGACTATGTGCTGCTGGAGTTTGACTTCATCACTGTTAAGTTTCTTCCCCCTAACACGACTCCTCTCGTTCAGCCCATGGATCAGCAGGTCATCAGTAATTTCAAGAAACTACACTATTTCAGAATTGCTCTGAAGTGAACTCTGACACAGAGTTAACCCTGAGAAAGTTTTGGAAAGATCACTTTACTATCGCCCATTGACAAAGCCTGGCAGGAAGTTTCATAGAGAACAATGAACTCGGCTTGGAGGAATTTTTGGCCAGAAGCAGTGGCTGAAAGGGACTTCGAGGCTGTGTCTATAGTGGAGGATATTGTGTCTCTGGGCAGGTCCATAGGTCTGGATGTGAGTGAAAATACCATATATTACTGGTCATGAGACAAAACTTCAACTAAGTAAATATGCCTCCATAATATGAGTGCTGGCTATTCCCCCAAAATATGCAACAAAATGCTTTTGGAAATATAAATTATTTTATTCATGTAAACAATTTTATTTAAAAAATATTAATGGTATATTTTCCGTTACATTTTCAATGATAGAAATCAGAATAAGGAGCAGAGGGTAATGGGGAGGGACAGGCAGCTGTAAACACTGCCAGTACCCCTTATTCATCCTTTTTTATTTTGCAAAACACAAGTTAATCAACTAAACTGATGCACAATGCATATTTAGTACATTTCCAGGTATCTCTTACTCTTTTACCCTTGATGATGCAAATAAAGGGAAGCAGAGGACATATAAATAGTGGTGGTGGTACCTCAGACTGGTGCAAGACCTGTCAACTGCAAATCACAAAAAATTTAACAGCCATACTGATGCAAAATGTATATACCCTAGGTATTCACATTATCTTTAGTTTCCTCTTATTATGCAAATAGAAGGAAGCAAAGAATACATAAATTTGTATACAGTGGTACCTTGACTTACGAGTGACTCGAGAGCCAAAATCCAAGTTACGAGTGAGCTTCAGATACACTGCCACTAGTTGGCGGCGTATCTGAAGTCAAAACTAACTCTACTCAGAGGAATGTCAGGTACTTTGTCCCATCCCACATGTTCTTCGAAGATATAACTGGAAGGATAATACTCCCACACTAATCCCAGATTGTAGTGAGGCACCTCGTCCCTTGTTTGGTTCTCATATAAATCCGGGAAAGAGGTAACCTCCATTTCAACACTCAGTCTTTCCAGAAACATTAAGATGGGTGGAGTACTGATAATGATGGGTCGAGTA